AAAAAAAAAAAAAAAAAAAAAAAAAAAAGATAATAATAATAATAATAATAAAGAAAAAAATAGATTCGATTCCTCAACGTATGAAATAAGATAAAATAAGAAAAAATAAAAATAAATAATAGATTCGTTCTCAACGTGAAAAGAGAAAGGCGAGAGAGTAAAACGAGAGAATGAGAGAGAGACAGAGAGAGATAAAGAGAGGGAAAGAAAGCGAGATAGAGAGAGATAAAGAGAAAGAAAGTAGAGAATTATATAAATAGGACACTTCTATCTTATTTATATAATTCTCTCACACACCTATGCTTCTACAATCTCCCTCCCTCCTTCCCTCTCCCTCCCTCCCTCTCCCTCCCTCTCCCTCTCCCTCCCCTCCCCCTCTCCCTCATACGAGATTAGAATATATGGCTGATTGAAATTAAGCCTCAGCCGGATTGAGATTTATCACAGTGGTGCTTCGTATATCATGACTTAATTCGTATTGATGTGACGCGCCCCTCGGCCACAGCACGGCGGTAGGGAGAGAATTCCAGCGACGGTTGTATTGTTGGCAGTGACACCAGCTTTACTCTGGCACTGGAGGGAAGTACGTGGTGTGTTGTGCTATGAGGGTGTTCGGTGGGCTGTTGTGCAGAGTGGGTGTGTGTTTGTATGTGATGGTGGTGGTAGGTGTGCATGTAGGGGGTTGTAGTAAGAAGGATGGGTGTGTGTGTTTTTTTATGTATGGGTGAATGTGTAGGTTTGAGAGAGGTAGGTTTGTATGGGGTTTATGCATGTGTATGTATGCATGTGCGTGAAGGCAAAAACACTGTAAGCAATGTACAATATGCATAGCGCTCATATATGGATGTATGAAGATGGTACACACATATATGTACACACACACAAACACACACACACACACACACACACACACACACACACACACACACACACACACACACACACACACACACACACACACACACACACACGCACACACACATATAAACACACACACACACACATAAAAACAAACACTCAAACACACACACACACACACCCTCCCTCCCTGCTCACGCCCTCACCCCTCCCTTCTCTCCCTCTTTCTTCTCCCTTCTGCAGGAGATCCTCTCATGCCCTTGCTATTAAACCCTCATCCTTGGCACTACGAGACGAGAGGAAGGACCACTGAGTCACGTGTATTCCTCATCCCTCTAACTTAGAACTTGAGGAGGAACCGATAATCACGCCCTCTCCAACCCCCTCTTTCTTCTAACTTCTGCAGGAGATTCCCTCACGCCCTTGCTATTAATAAGAGAGAGAAAGAAAGAAAAACACACCCACTGACTCACCTGTATGACTCATCCCACCAAACGAGACCTGTAACAGAAACCATTTCTCACGTCCTCCTCCTCTCTCCCTCCCTCTCCCTCTCTCTCTCTCTCTCTCTCTCTCCTATCCCTGTCTCTTTTTTTCCCTTCTTCAGGAGACCCCCTCACGCCCCCGGTCTTGGTAGGGGCGCGAGAGATCTACGAACCGACAGAGCTCATCAAGATTGGCTGCCAGACGAAGCGCCCTCATCAGCACGACCCTAGGCCTACTCTGCAATGGCACCTGGCGGGAAGGCAGGTGAGTCTGACAAAAGAAAATAATGATAAATAAAAAAAGGAAAAGATAATAAATAAATAGATGAATAATAGATAAATAAGTAGATAAATAGATAAATAGATAAGTAAATAAATAAATAAATAAATAGATAAATAAATAAATAAATGAATGAATAAACAAATAAATGAATAAATAAATAAATAAATAAAATGTATTTGGGCTAATGGTTAAGGTGATTTTTAAGACTTGATATATGAATGAAAAAGGGAAAAGAATGTATATGGGTTAAGTTTTCGAATGATTTCATAGGACCCGATAGACAGAGGAAGAATGAAAATGAAAAACAAATGTTTATGAGTAAAGTGTTAAGGTGATTTCATAAGCCGAGATAGGTAAATGAAAATTAATAATGATAATAATAATAATAATGAATATTAATAATAATAATAGTAATAATAATAATAATAATAATAATAATAATAATAATAATAATGATAATAACAATAACAATAATAACAATAATAATAATAAAAAAAACATATATGGGTTAAGTTTTCATGTAATCTCACAGGACACTATAAACGAATGAAAAAATGAAAAAGAAAATGACATTCGGGTTAAGGTTCTGGTGATTTCACAGGACAAGACATGTAAAAAAAAAAATAAAAATATTGCAAATCAGTGGATGATTTTAGAAAGCGAGGCGATTCAACTAACGACCTAACGTGATATTATTTCCTTGTCCCTTTTACACTTATGATGCTTTATATATATTTTCTTTTCTTTTCTTTTCTTTTCTTTTTCTTTTTTCTTTTTCTTTCTTTTTCTTTTTCTTTTTCTTTTCTTTTTCTTTTTATTTTTCTTTCTTTCTTTTTTTCTTTCTTTTTTTTCTTTTTTTTTTTCTTTCTTGTTT